AGGAAACTACTATTAGTTAAAAAATATGTAACAGACATATCAACTAATTGTAAGGTATAGAACTTACATTGTTAAAAACAAAAAAATGAGACAACTGGGGACATTTTTACCCTGACTAAATACTTGATGATATTAAGGAATTTGGCATGGGAGCTCTGGTGGCATAGTGCCTAAGGCATTTGACTGCTAACCAGAAAGTTGGTGGTTCAAACGCACCAGCCACCCCTTGGAAGGAAGGTTGAGCAATCTACTCCTATAGAGATACTGCCTTGGAAACCCAAGGAGAGGTCGCTATGAGTCAAATCGACTTGATGGCAGTGAATTTGGGTTTTTTTTTTTGTGTGTGTTGATAATGACTAAACCTGGGTTATTAGTATGTAGGATTATTGTACAATTATCTCTACTTTCATGTGTTTGAAATTTTCCATAATTAAAAAGGTGTTTTCATTTACATATCTCAGCATTACTTGCAATTATGAAAACCTGGAAACAATAGAGAACTAGTTAAATAATGTGTAGAAAAGCCCTTACAAGGAAGTGTTTCACTATCATTAAAAATTATTTACTAAGAACAGTGAAAACCTATATTAATATATATGCACAGATGATAATGAACATGGAAAATTTGCATATACATATGTGCTTAGAGAAAAGACTGGAAGGAAATCCATACAGTTTTTTAAAGTGTTATCTCTGATAATAAAATTTCAGTGAGTGCATTTTTTCCTCTATAGCAAACTGTGTTTTCCAGATGTTCCATAATAAGCAAATATCAGTTTTTAAATCAGAGAAAAAAAAATTTTAAGATTGTGAGACATTTTCTACACCTGTCAACTTGCTTTTAACTCTCTCATAGCAGTTTGGAATCACTGGAACAGGCTTGTTTTTTTTTTTAAAGGAGATATACTTTCTCATTCATTCATTCAATCACTTGGTAAGTCAGACAGTCAGTCAGATACTTTGTAACTATCGGGCCTTAGCTCTTTATACTCAAGTCCTTTCCCCTGAGGAAAGGCCTAAGGAGCTCTGGTGGCACACTGGTTAAAGCATTTGGCTTTTAATCAAAAGGACAGCAGTTCAAACCCATCAGCCACTCTGTGAGAGGAAGATCAGGCTGTCTGCTCTTGTAAAGATTTATAGCCTCGGAAAGCCTATGGGAAAGTTCTGCTCTGTCCAGTAGAGCTGCTATGAGTCGGAATCGACTCGATGGCAGTGGGTTTTGGGTTTGGAGGAAAGGCCTTGTGACCCAGAAGGTGAAGTGATGTGGAACTGGAGAAAATGTTGCTCTGTTCCATTCTGACTGCCATACAACCTTCCAAACACTCAGTCCCGTGCCACTTACGGGCTTTTCCGCAGCTTCTTTGTGGTTTGCATCCATAGGCTCTTCCTCTGTCTTTTTGCCCCTCCTCCCCCTCCATTTGCCCTCTTAATGTGAAGACCCTCAGGTTTTGGTCCTGACCTGCCTCTTTTCTCTCTTCCCTCTCTTCTCCTTACCATCTATGGGTTGAAATGCTACCTCTATGCTAATAACTCGCAAATGTGTATCTGCAATCCTTCTTCTCCTTTGAGCTCCCGATTTTATAGCCAACTGTTCACTTGATACTTCCATGGTCTGAATTAATAATTCTCCACTAGAATATTGCACATTTTAACTTAACATGTACAAAGTAGCATTCTCATCACTGACACTCTCTGCCTGCCCAGACCTCTCCAACCGGCATGCAGGTACACACTCACATGCTCAGAAAACAAAATTCTAAAAAATAAAACTATATCTGTTGCTCAATCTTTATTGTCTCTGTACATGACACCATTTACCCCTTGTGCCAACCCAAGTCGGAGAGTCTGCCTTGGCTTTTCCTGCTCACTCACAGCCCACATGGGATTGGGCACTGAGAGCCGCAATGTCTGCTTCTAAATATACCTGGAATTGAAATATACTGGACAGGACTGCCATCATCTCTCCCCTAGACTTCTTCAACAGCCACTTAACCAGTTTCCCTTGGAGCTCTGGTACCTTAGTGTCTGAGGCACTTGACTGCTAACCAGAAGGCTGGCGGTTCAAACCCACCAGCCACTCCTCAGAAGGAAGGTTGGGCTATCTACTTCCATAGTGATACTGACTCGGAAACCCAAGGAGGAGTCACTATGAGTCGGGTCCGACTCGACAGCACATAACAACAACAACAACAACCAGTTTCCCAACTTCCATCTTCATCACCTCCAAAGCATTTTCTACATAGCCACAAGGCACAAATTCAATCAGCACAAATTCAATCACTTAACCCAGTATATTGTACTCAGAATCAAATCTCATGCCTGCACAGCCTCCACTGCTACACAGATGGCCTGTGTGTCTCTCTGCGTTACACTGTTCACTCTTAGCTCACACACTCCTCTAGTTACGAGGTTCTATATTTTACTTTTTCAGTTCCTCAAACATATCAAATTCTCCTTTTCCTCAGGGTCTCTGCACATGTTACTCCCACTTCCTGGAATGGTGTCTTCTCCTATGCCCCTACACTTACCCTTCACATGACAGGCTCCTTCTTATTCTTTCCATCTCAATGCCAATGGCACCTCCTCAGGGAGGCCGTAAGCATTATTGTTGGCTTTGTTGTCTTGTTGTTATTTTCTCCCTCAGTTCCTTGTTCTGTTCCTTCAAGAATGTACTGCAAACATTGATTAATTTACACTTGTGTTTGGTTACTTGTTCTATTTTGCCTCCCATGAGGTTGAGGTAGTGTTTGTTAGATTTTACCTCGACTCCCTAACACTTGGCATGATGCTTTGTGCATAGATAGTGCTCAAAGAAAATTAACTGAATGAATGAACAAATGTTAAAAAAAAAAAAAAAAAGAGGTGGGGATGACTGACAGAAAACAATTTTTTGTTTTGTTTGTACCCAATAAGGTGGTAAGGTATTTCTCTCAAGGTTTTTCTTTGGTTACCCATGTTGTCAAAGTGACAAGACCTGTGGCCATGGCTTCACTGATTCAGAAAGCTTCAGATCTTAAAAACATTCCCCTCAGAGAAAGAAGGAAAACATTCCAGGAAGCCAAATGGCTGCCTTCCATTCTGGAGTGGTGGAGCTTACCTCTGCCCATGGGGTTGTTTAATGGGGTGATTATGTGTAATTTCCTTCTATGCCAAGTTGGGTTCATCGCCCTTTTGCGAGCAGTTGACTAGGGATGGGCTGAAGAGCAGCTACTAACATGCTGCCAGCGTTTTCACTGGCACTGACATTTTGGGTCTTGAAATGAATCCCCTGTAATTAAGAAGATTATCCCCCTCCCCCTGCCATAGTGACTGCACACAGTGATGACGAGATTGCTGATAGGAGGATGAGATGGATGCTCTCAGAGATGCTGCTTAGATTCTGGGACCACTCTTGGAGGGAACACTGGATTGTTAAAAGTCCAGCCAATGTCCTGCCCACACTGCTAATCCTGTCATAATTGGTCATTAAAAAGTAGATTGAAGCCCAATTTCTTCCTCTTGGAAGGTTTGGCTGGCACCACTTTGAGGCTCTTCCTGGAGACAGCATCCATTAGTCAGATAAACTCTTGCTGAGAACAGAAGTGCCAGGCACAGTCTAGTAAAGTGGTGAGAGGTCATGTACAACAGCTGGTTGAGCACCTTGGCTGGGACATACTAGTTTTCTTGTTCAATCACAACCACACTGTGAACTCCATGCCCAGTTTATACCTGAAGAAATGAAAAATATCCATCTAATATCTAATTGTGGGCTGGCAGCTTCCTTGTTTACTGGGCTAACCCTGTCCAGGTTTTAGAGTGTAAATGTGACTCTAGTGGAAGTCCTGAGTGAGCTGCTCCAAGCAGGTCTCTGGTGTGGCCAAGGCAGATTTAGATAAGAGGAGAAGGGAACCATGCCAATCTATAATTCAAGTATTGATAGGGATTGAATTGTGCATCCCAAAGATCAGCTGAAGTCCTAATCTCTAGTACCTATGAGTATAACCTTGTTTGGAAATAGGTCTGTGAAGGCATTATCCGTTAGTTAAGATGAGTCCTTATTAAAATATGGTGAGTTCTAATCCAATCTGAGTGGTGACCTATAAAAGAGGAGAGAGGCAGACAGACAGAAGGAGTGATGCTGTAGCTGTAAGCCAAGGAATGCCTGGGGCTACCAGAAACCAGGAGAAACAAGAATGGATCTCCCCTAAGAGCCTTCAGAGCTAACCCTGACAACACCCAGATTTCAGACCTCTAATCTCCAGAACAGTGAGACAATAAATTTCTATTAATATATATGTGTGTGTGTGTATGTGTGTGTGTGTGTGTATGAATGCATATATATATATATATATATATATATATATATATATATATATATATGTATGTATTTATGTGTGTATGTATGTATATATAAATACTATCTTCAAACCTAGCATAGAGAAAAGGAACCTTTTCATGCTTCCCCTTCACCTCTTCCGCAATGATCTCTCCTGGAGCCTGTCTATGTCAAGCCTTACTGGATACACAAAGGACACCTGAACAATTTCTTTAACCCTCAAGGTCACCAACAGCCTCATAAATGAGATGCAGCCCCCCAAACAGAGCAGCTACGAGGAGCATTTCCCTGCAGTGCCTCACTCTGACCCCTCTCCCCAACCACAGAGTTCTTACACTAATTCTTATAAGAACCAATCACAAGTACCCAGAGCAGAATGAGGTGTCAAATAGCATAGACTCACTGCTCAGCGTCCAGGAATGAATTCCAGCTCAGCCCCTCCTAGCTGTGTGGCCTCAGTTTCCCCATAAGGAAAAAAAGACTAAATTGTTGTGAAGGCTTAGCAAGCTCCTGCAGATAGCGGCCAGGCCAGGCCTGGCACGGGGGTAAGTGAACAGATACTTCAGTTGCTGTTCTGCAGTTGAGGAATCAGGCAGAAAGTGTCCCAAAGAATGACTCTGTCTATCCACCAGACTGCTGACATGTGATGAGTCTGATCTAATGGGACGAGAGGAAGGGATGGTACCTCTGCAGCGGGGCTGCTCTCCAGTCCAGGTGCCATTGGGCAGGCACATGACACTGCTGGGCCCGACCAGTCGGAATCCAGGGTTGCAGGTAAAGTGGACTTCGTGATCCACTAAGTACTTGCTTCCAAACTTTCTGCCATCCAGAGGGGCGCTCAGAGCAGGGCAGGAAACTGTAAGGACAAAGAGTGGGATTAGGAGCTATGGAAGCAGCAGTCAAGACATCAGACAATGTATTACACTGGGAAACTCTGCTGCCAAAGACCTCTTTAAAGTGCTGAAGAGCAAAGATGTCTCCATGAAGACTAAGATATGCCTAACCCACGTCATGTTATTTTCAATCACCCCACATGCATGTGAAAGCTGGACAATGAACAATGAAGACCAAAGAAGAGTTGATGCGTTTGAGTGTGGCATTGGCAAAGGATACTGAAAGTACCATAGACTGCCAAAAGAATGAACAAATCTGTCCTGGAAGAAGTGCAGTTGGAATGCTCCTTGGAAGCAAGAATGGCCACCTACTTTGGTCTTGTTGTCAGATGGGACCATTCCCTGGAGAAGGATATCATGCTTGGTAAAGTGGAGGGTCAATGTATAGGGCTGGCAGACAATGGCCCTAGAAGTATATTTGTATGATCTGAATTCCCAGGTGTATAGTAGAGTTGACAAGGGACAAGGTTGTAGTCACTTCTTGGTCACAGCCAGCTACCCAGAGGCACTGAGTAGTTGAACCTGTGGGCTCGGGAGCAGAGTCACAAGGGACATCAAGCTCAATTGGCATAACATACTACACAAAACATTGTTACACCTCCTATTTGGTGAATAACAACTGGGATCTTAAAAGCTTGTAAGCAGCCATCTAGCTGCAACAATGGGTCTCTCCTCGTCCAGAGCCAAGAAGAATGAAGAAAACCAAAGATTCATGGAAACAATTAGTCCTAGCAACTGGTACACCATGCAATCTGCAGCCTATACGACTATGAGACCAGAAGGACTAGATGGTGCGTGGCTACCACCGTCAACCACTCAGAGGGGGATCTATGTCGGAGATCCTGGATAGAGAGGGAGAAGAATGGTGGAACAAAACTCAAAATCATTCAGAAAAAATAAAGCGTGGGGACCAGATTTGCTGGTCTGATAGAGCCTGGTGGAACCACTGAGACTATGGCTCCCAGCTGCTCTTCAAGTCTGGAATTGAACCCACACCTGTGGCTTCCAGCCAAGCAAAAGACAGGCATATGGGTTGAACACTTACCTGAGGTAGATACATTCCTTAGAGAGAACAATCTTGAGAGAAAGAAGGGCTGTTCCTGCACAGGGAGACAGCTCAGGGAGCAGGAGTGCATGGAGGGATGGAGACAGGGAAGAGGTAACTATGGGGAGGAAGGGGGAGGGGAGCTGTTGCATTGGGGTAAATTGTGGTCAATGTCATGAGACAAAGTATATGTGAACTGCTGTATGGAAAGTGAATTTGCTGTGTAAATTTTCACCCAAATCACGATAAAAAAAAATAAAATAAATGCTAGAGGAATTTAATAAGAAAAAAAAAAGTGGAGGGTCAGTGAAGAAGGGGAAGACCCTCAATGAGATGAATTGACACAGTGGCTGCAACCATGGGCTCAGATATAGCAAGGACTGTGAGGCTGGCACAGGACTGGGCAGTGTTTGGTTCTGGTTGCTATGAGTTGGAACCAACTTGTTGGTACCTAACAACAACAACAACAACCTCCTAGACCACAGCTACTTAGACATCACTCAATCATAACGCTTCCCATTTGTAAGTACCACTCTGTTGAGTGCCCACCCCAGGCTGCACACTGTGCTGGATGTTTGAAATGCTATATCTCACCAAACCCTCAAAGCACTTTTGGGGATGGGTACTAGATTCCCACTGAGTGAAAGACAAGGAGACTCAGGCTCAGAGTCACTGAATGCTGTGCACAGGGTCTTGCAGCATGTGAGGGTCAGAGCTGGGACCTCCAGGTATGGCTGACCCACTGCATCACTGCCATCCACTTGCTCTGGTTTCATGGAGCTCCAGTGGCACTGGGTTTTACTAGGTTTCCTAAACAGGCTGGGGTCAGCCCTACCTTCAGGCCTTGGCTTTTGCTCTTTTCCCTGCCTGCTATGAACTGCTGATGGAGGGGTCCTTCAGGTCTCTGGTCAAATGCCACCACCTCCCAGATTATTCCCAAACCACCACGCCTGATTGAGAGCTCCCCGGCACTATCCTCTGAGCTCACTGTTTTCTTCTTAGCGTTCATAACCACTGGAATTAACTTACTGATTAATTTGTCTCTATGTCTGCTGTCAATTTTCTCCATCAGAAGGCAGGTCTGGGGGCAGAGATAACACCTGTCCTTGCATCGCTGCTCATCCCCAGGACAAGCCCAGTGCCTGGCACATAATGAGTGCTCAATAAATAATTCTTGAACAAATGTATGATTGAAAAATTATTTGTTGAGTGCTTAGTATGGACTGGACACTAAGTTAGATGCCTGGGATACATTAGTGAACAAAACGGACAAAGCTTTGCAGTTTGACCTGGGGCAAGTTTCAAGCTTTCAGGAAGCACAAGCAATATATAAGATCAATAAATAAATGGCAGGGTGTGATAAAAGGTGATAAATATTATGTAGAAAATGAAAATAGGGAATAGGGTAGGGATGCCAGAGGAGGGGGCACCATTTTGAATATGCTGGTCAGACTAGGCTTTTTTGGAACAGACTTGAAGAAGATGAAGGCATAACCTTGCAGATACATGGGAGAGTTGAGATATCTGCTTGAGGATGAGGGAATGGTCAGTTCAAAGGCCCTGTGGTGAGAGTGTGCCTGGCAAGTCTGAGGGATGTCAAGGAGGCCACTGTGACTGAAGTAGAGTTGATTAGGTGGAAAGTAGTTGGAGATGAAGTCAAAGAGGCAACAGGGAACAAGAGGGAATAGAGTTACATAGGCCATTGAAAAGGAAACAGGGCCATTTAACATGTACTCTGTGTGAAATGGGAGTCATTAGTGGGTTCTGAGCCAAGGCACAATAATGTGGTCCATCTTATATGTTAGCAGCATCACGCTGGCTGTGGCTTTAGTATAGAGTGTTGGTGTGTGAAGGGGAAGAAAGCAGAACCCAGGGGCATGATGAAGGCAGCTCAGATCAGAGGGTAACTGGGAGTGGAAAGATGCTTTGAATTATAGAGGTGTTTGGAGGAAGAACTAACTGAATTTCCTGGTGGATTAATGCAGAGAAGAGAGAGAAGGAGGAGAAGCTCTGTCATTCCTCTTCTCTCTGCAGCAGAGTGTTGGGCACATGGTTGGCACTCAGTCAACATTTGTTTAATGACTGAATGCCCAAAGTTGGGTTAGACCAGATTTGGATTTAGTGTAGTTGGGAACTCAGAGGCACTCCTAAAACATGTTACAGTTCCAAGTTTCATTTTAAAAAATAATTTTAGGGTTTTAGACAGATGAAAATGAAGCTACTGCTTCAGCATTGTAGGTGAAAGCTGAGTGGTAGACAATCACTCAGCTCTCACCATGAAGAAAACATTTGGCAACATGTCTGTTAGGGGACACCTAGACCTGAGGCCCTAAGAAATGTGCAACAGGTCTCCCTGCCCAGGCCCAACCCAGGGTCCTTCACAGAGCATTCTGGACTTGGAGAAGGGTAGGAACTAGCTCCCCAAAGTACTCTCAGTGGCCCTTGGTCACTGGGTAATTTATGACCATTGCAGCATCACTTTCCTTTAGCAAAACTCCAACTCGGTGCCCAGTGATAATGCCCTCGTGAGAAGGAAGTGAGTGTGAGCTTAACTCCCCACTCTTGGGCGCTCTTCAGTTGCTACCTCAGGCCTTGTAAATACGTGATCTCACAGTTCTTTTTAAAAACTTAATACTCAATTATGTTGAAAGTGTTTAATATGCTTTTGGGGAAAGGAGTAGGGCCTCTTTAAGAATGAGAAATCTTTAACCTCAAAAAGAAAAACAACAGGGTACCTGTTGGAGCAGCTTACAGGTAAAATGGTACTTAATAGATTGAACGGTATCTGACACCTGGAAGGTGCAATAAACGTTAGTGGAATTAATGAATGGAAACAAATTAAAAGCCAATTGGTGGTTACATCCCAAATGGGAGCTAAAGGGCTCTGCTCTGGTGGAAGGATGTCCCCTTTGGCTGATTCATTTCATGAAGGGCACGTCCTTTTGGGTCTATGGGAGCCTCAGGAAAGCTTTCTGAACCTTCCAGAATGAGGTTAATGTGTAAGGGATGAGATGAGCAGTTAAGTAAGCATGGCAACTTGGGAATGTGAATGGAATGAGGCTTCCATGGATAAGGCCTGAAGCCAATAGGTTGTGATTCTCCCAGGAAAGAAAGGCCAGAAAAATAAGAGGGAGATGCTTTGTACAGAAGCCAGGAAAAGGAAAACCAACCGTATTCTAGACCCAGAAACTTTCCTTCATGACTCCTAGCAAACGCTCTTTCCCAACAAAACCAAATTCATTCCCACAGAGTTGAGTCTGACTCATAGTGACCCTATAGGATGGAGTAGAACTGCCCCATCAGGTTTCTAAGGCTGTAAATCTTTATGAAAGCTGACTCCCTCATCTTTCTCCCTCGGAGCAGCTGCTGGGTTCAAACCACCGACCTTTTAGTTTGCAGTCAAATGCCATAACCACTGTGCCACCAAAGCTCCTAAATGCCCTTTAAGAGAAAAGATAAAAAGTAGAAGAATTTTTCCACTCTTTGCAGTTTGCAGTTTTCCACTCTTTGCAAGTTTCAGGCCTGAAATGAAGACTGTGATTATAAAAGTAAACTAATAAAGCTGCCCTGCCAGTTGTAGTGGTGTCACAAGCAGTACCCAGAGAGGTGTCCAACACATGGGAGACACGCATTGTTGTTAGCTGTGATCAAGTTGGCTCCCGACTCATGGTGACCCCATGCCTGGTCTTGTGCTTTCCCCATGATCAGTTGAGGATTGGACCATTGTGATCCCTAGGGTTTTCATTGGCTGATTTTTGGAAGTAGATCACTAGGCCTTTCTTCCTCATCCTAGTCTGGAAGTTCTGCTGAAACCTGTTCAGCATCACAGCCACACATAAGGATTCACTGACAGGCAGTGGCTGCACACGAGGTGCACTGGCCAGGAATTGAGCCCAAGTGTCCTGTATGGAGAATTCTACCACTGAATCACCAGTGCCTTCATGCAAGAGACACAATATATGGTGGTAATTTTTTAAAAAGAGAATTTGCCAAGTTTTTTAGATCTAGCACTGTTCAGGAAAGAAAGATCTTGAATCTGGGGATGAGAATGAGAGGATTCATGATTTAACAATAGCTGTCCTAACATGAGGAGCTTTGGTGGCACAGTGGTTAAGTGCTCAGCTGCTCCTGTGACTACTACAGCTTTGGAAACCCTGTGGTGTCCATAGTTCTACTCTGTTCTATACGGTCACAATGAGTTGGAATCAACTCCACGGCAGCAGGCTTGGTTTGTTTGGACCCTCACATGGGCCGGGCAGTTTTATAAATTATTCCCTGCAGGCTCTTCTTTGAAACCTCCAGGGATTGCAGGCAGTTGTGATCTTGTGAAAACAAGAAGGCTCCTTAGAAACAGTACTAAATCAGGGACCTCCTACTGCTAGCTCACTTCTCCTGGCCTCAGTTTCCCCACCTACAGCAGGAAGGAAGGATGCCCTGCCTGACTCACAGGATTTGAGTGTGATGAGTCCCACTGAGGGCTTGGGTGCCATAGCCCCTTGGAAGGTGTAGAGGAAGTTTGGCTGGTAGGTTCAGTTCTGCCCCAGTGGAGCCAAAGAAAACAGGAGTTGAGCTGGTGCTGTTGAGACTCTGGACTTGCTACCATAATCTCTAAAAAGTCAGGACATTTAACATGATCATTTCATACAACAAAGAAGGCCCTTGATAAATGTGTCTTAATGAATGGTGTCCATAGGCTCATGACTTAACCAGAGCAAACATGATGACTGCCCTCCTCCTTGCCATTGCCCTAAGGAAAGACTAGAGGAACAGCAGGTGCCCACCTCTGGGTCTTGGCAATGGGAAAGCTGTTACTGGGACAACCAGGAAACAGCACTCCAGTGTCTGCTGAAGCTCTGCCCTCAGGGGTGGGAGTCTGGGGTGCCTACTGTAACCTCCCCAGACAAACAAAACTTGCCTCAGCAGCCTCTTCTCTCTCCCCTCTCCCCACACTGGTAATAATGGAGGGCTTATGTTCATGTCTGAAAAGCTTGAACTAAGTGGAGTCTGGAGTCTACCTGGGTAGGTATGGGGAAGGGAAAAGCAGCTCATGCTCTAAAAGTGGCCTCTCAGCAACTTTATAAAGGTTATGAGCACATGATAGCTGTTAAGCCCCGAATGCAAAGACATGAAAAGAAATGACTGAGGGAGAGGAGAGAAGGCAGACTTTTTTTAAATGCACTCACATCTACCCACAACCAGGGTTAAAAGATGGCTCACAGACCAAGGAGAGGCAGAGAGAGGACTGAGAATCCATTACAAGAATAGAGAGGTGCCAAAAATGACCAGAATTACTGGCCGGCTAGAGACTGGTGGAACCACCGAGACTATGGCCCCGGGTTCTCCTTTGGGCCTAGAAATGGACTTACTTCCATGGATTGGCTCTCAGCCCAACAGTAGAAGGACCTACATGCAGAACACTTACCTCAGGGCAATGCACCCACCTACTATAGCGAGATGCACCCCTGAGGTCAGTCAGTCATGAGACGTCAGAGGAGCAGCATTCACACAGGGGGAAAGCTGGACAGACAGGAATTTATAGATATGAAGGGCACAGGGAGTGGGTAACCGTAGGGAGGAGAGAGGAGAGGAGAGTTTTTTATGGTTGGGGAGGGTAAACAGGGCCGTGAAATCAAATGTGTATGAACTGTTGAATGTAAAACAAATCTGCTTTGGAAATTTGCACCCAAAGCATAATAAAAGAAGAAAAAAAAAAAAAGGAATAGTGAGGTGCCTTGGAAAGGGATCAGTGCAGACGATCCTGGATAGAGTAGGAAATAATGTGTAACAAAACTCAAAATCATAAAAAAAAAAAAAAAAAGGAGAACAGGTTTACTGGTCTGATAGAATCTGGTGACACCCTCTAGACTATGGCCCTAGTTACCCTTCAGGCCTGTAATTGAACTGGCTTCCAGCTGAACACAGAGAGGAATATAGAATGGACGTTTACATCAGGTAGATACACTGCTTAGAACAATCAATCATGGGAAAACAGAAGGGCAGTATTTGCACAGAGAGATAGCGGGGGGGGGGGGGGGGCAGGGATGCATAGGAAAGAAGGACACAGGGAAGAAGGGGGAAGAGAGCTGTAACATTGTGGGGAATTGCAGTCAATGTCATGAAACAAAAGGTATATGAGCTGCTATATGGAAAATGAATTTGCTCTGTAAATTTTCACCCAAATCACAATAAAAAAAAAAAAAAAGGTCGGGGGGAGAGAGAAAGTGTGTGTGTAGAGAGGTGCTCAGGGGCCTTGCAGGACCAGGGAGAGACAGGGGGAGAACCTGAGTGTCTTGTGGCATCAGTAGCTGCTGACTTGGTGACCCACCTGGGGGGGCATCTGGGAGGGCTCTGCTCACAGAAGTTTGCAATGCAGCCAGCCGGCTCTTCATGTTGCGGATACCCTCGGCAAAGCGGGTCTCCTGGCCTTTCAGCAGCTGCTGCAACTGGCGGATAGCTGTGAGGAGCTGTTGTTTGTTGAGGCAGTTCTGGGGGGAGAAAGAATCACCACCATTACCAATTGCGGTTGGTTCTGTCCCACAGGCTCATTCTGGCCTCCCAGAGTCACCCACAGGGCCCAATCTGCCTTTTCAGCTCACCAAATACAATGGAGGAGTCCTTGGATGGCATAGTTAAACACTCATTTACTAACTGAAAGGTTGGCAGTTCAAAGCCACACAGAAGAGCCTCAGAAGAAAAGGCTGGAGATCTACTTCCCAAACATCACAGCCACTGAAAGCCCTACAGAGCAGTTCTACTCTAACACACATAGGGTCGTCATGAGTCACAATCCACTCATTGGCAACTGGGTTGAATTACAACATAAAAGTGACCTCACAAGGCATCCTTCTCTGCCCTCGGCTCTAGCTGGGTGCAGACATCTGCTGAAGCAGGTCACCAAGTCACAGCCCCAAACACACATCAGATAGCCCCAGCTTGCCCCTCAATACAAACAAAAACCCCACTTTTAGGGAGGAGGACATCACTGATTACATGATAGAGGTGCTGCACAACTCAAAGTGCCTTTGGATCCAAACAACCAGTTTCTTTCTCTGATTCTTTAAACTAATGTCCTGAAATTAGAACCTTGGTGAGCTTTTTCTTTCTCTCTCACTCAGATATTTTTAAAAGCAGATGGATGATAAACAGAACTGGCAAAACAGGAATACTCAATGGTTTCTATACTTTAAAAAAGTCTAATGGAGTGGGGGTGGGGAGGTGGCGGGAAGATTATCTTAATAGACTTAAAGAGCCAGTCAATAAAATTCAACACGTAGTTCTGATTAGTTATAAAAAGTCAGTAGAATATGAAAAAGAGGGCTCATGCTTCTCATGACAAAGACTATCTAACTGTGAAGCAACACCCAACATCATACTTCATAAAGAAAATCTCAAGGTTTCCAATTTCAACTGTCCGTTGGGATTAGGAAATCAAAAAGGAGGAGGTGGAGACCCTGGGTGGTATGAATGGTTAATATGCTGGGTTGTTAACCTAAAAGTTGGGGGTTTGAGTCCATCCAGATACACCTCAGAAAAAAGGGCTAGAGATCTAGTCCCAAAACATCAACTACTAGAAACCCTATAAAGCACAGTTGCACTCTGACATGGGAGGTTGCCATGAGTCAGAGTTTATTGGTAACTGGTCTTTTAAGGAGGTAGAATACAACGGGAAGTGATAAGGATGTTGGTGTTGGGAGAGTGAGAAAGTCTTTCACTTCTTCTGAGAATGTCTTTCACTTTCATAAGAGGATTGTGTGTTACCACAGCAGAGCCTCTTCTACCCTGACTAAAATTATCTACAAGGAAGAAAGAGGTAATGATGGTTATCTCCAGGGATAACCTTAGATCATTTTCAATTTTATTTTTATACTTATTTTTTTTCAACACTATGTGTGACTTTTATCATGAAAAATACAGAAAACTTGCAAAAGACAAAATCTGTGTAAGACAGAAACTTTTCAGAGAAAGAAAACTCAAATATTTTCCATTAAAATGACTTATAGAAAAGTGGTGTGACTGCACCCTGTCAAAGGTGAAAAGCTTGTGAGACCCGGAAAAACAAGGCAGTTCCATTAAGTTCTGGCTCTCACAGGTTTCACTGTATTTCTAAAAGCCAGAGGGGCAGTGGGGTGGCCTAAGCAGTCTGGGTGGGTCCCAGCCTTGCCAGCGGAGCTCATCTGAGTGGAAATGGAGCCTCTGCCTCTCTCTCAGGGAGGCTGCCAGGCTGCTTGCACTTTGGAGACTGCACCAAATAGATGACTCATTGACCTGATTCAATGGATGCTTTTGACAAAGTTGAATCCCCAGTTGCCCCTGGAACTCGCTAATTCATGAAGACTCCTTGGCCTCCACTCTACCCAGACCCTGACTAGGCCTGGCCCCAAACAAAATTCTTGGGAAGGAAAGTTGAGTTCGTTTTTCTTCCTCCTCCCCTGTTGTGGTCCTTCTCACATAGGCTCTGGGCACCCAGGCAGGCATTTCCTGTAATCTCTGCCTGCCCAGCACCTACCAGCCATCCCACCAGGCCAATTTTCCCATATCCACATCCTCTTCCTTTGGAGAGAAAAAAAAAAAAGGAAAAGAAAAAGGAGCTACTTTTATAGATGGTTTCATGCCTTACATGTAATTTACATTGTGAGATAGTCCACAGTTTACAAACCACCTTCAACCACTGGCTGGCAGCAATCCATTGAAGAAGGTTGGGCAGGCACTATCAATGATTATCTCCATTTCATAGATGAAGATATGGAGGCTGAGTCAAATGACTTGCCCCAAATCATGTCGTTATGAGCGGTAGAGCTGGGCTGGAAACCCTGCTGACTTCCATTCCAGCCTCCATCCACCCTAGGCTGTTGCCCAATGGGCTGTCTTACTCCTTGTCTGACTTGTTCTTCACACAACCCTGTGTGGTCAATGATCTCATTGATTAATTTGCACTAGGGATTGATGGCTCTATAACCCAAGCAAAGTATCCCACAGGAGAGACTTTCTAACCCTTGAGCAAGTTTGGGCATGGGGGTGAGTCGGGGTTGGTAGGAAGTGGGGAGGGAGGGTGAAGGAAACATCTTTCCCACATTGAGCCAAGCAAGCAACAGCCTCCCTTTTCTACAAGCAGCCAGGACCATGACAGCTGAAAGAGTGATGGCTGGGCTGCAGCTGCCTTGCGGGATGCGGAAGGACTCAGTTTTGAAGTGGGGAGAGGAAGACATCTGTGCCAAGGGCTCTGCTGGGAAGGGGCAAGTACACTGCTGGGAACCTGGGGTAGTGCCATGGGTGTGCCAATACATACAGAAAGAAGTGTGTGGAGGGAAAGGTGCCTGTTTTCCACGTTGCCGCTGGGCAGCCTCTAACTCAGGCTCCTGGCACAACTATCTTCCGTTTCTGTGGCACTTTCCAGAAGAGCCTTCACAGCACCTGCTCCGTGGAGAACAGGCAGCAGCTGCTTTATCCCTCATTAGGGTAAGATGTGCTCATCTTACCAGTTGTTACTGGAGAACCTTCAAGACCAAGCAAACTAAGGGTACATCCCAGGCAGGGAGGAATGGAAGGGCTATGGGCATGACTTGCTGAGCGAGGTTGGGATGCTGTGGCCCACTTCCACCTGTACCTCTATGGGATGGCGCTAACAAAGCACATCATGGTTCAAGGAAGACCCTTGGTGTTCTTGGAAAGCCAGCATGCCATTATTGGGACCTGGGAGCCAAGGACATGAAGAAAATGAGAGACTTGCAGCAGCAGATTTGATGGGTCTGTGCTGCAGCTGCCACTCGCAGGGTCAATCCTTGACCCCAAAGTGCTAGAAACGGAGCCCTTAGAGCTATGCTCAGAATCTGTCTCCTGTCATTAGACATCTGCACAGGAATACCTACATTCATCTGCAGAGCTGAGTGATGAGGCTGGAATCCTTGTAGACCAAGTCAAGAGCTCAAGAGGTCTGCACTGTGGGGATGAATGTGGTCATGGGAGAGAGGCTGGGAACACAAACATTTTCCCTTCCAAACCGAGAAAGATTGATCATAAAAATAAAGCAAACTCCCTACGAGATAATTCAAAATGTAGAAAGCACATCAAAACAAAGGACAAGTCTTGTGACCAGAGAGAACCATTCTTAACTTTTCATTGAGTTTTTGCTTTCAGATTAGACCCCTATATGCACATGCACAAATATAACCTTTCATACATGGGGCCACAGGATGCAGGTGCTATGTCAATTCTTTCTTCTCAGCACTACGTTATGGCATCGTTTTCGCATCCCAAAGCAGAGCTCCATGTTGGGTTCCTGGGTCTCATTTCACTGCTGTTCTTCAGTGTTCTCTTTTCAGTCTGGGGAAGGGGATCCTTGCTGCTCTCCATTTGTCTGCCCCCTTCCCCACCTACACTCACTAGATTGAGAAGAATCATGGCATCAGAACAAATAATTTCCTTCTTTGAAAACATAGTTCTTGCCAAGGTCTATGCTCAAGGGGACTGCCAGAGCCTTGAAGTGGTAGGACAGGAAGCAGGTGGGACCCTTGGCATCACCCACCTGCACTTCAGGCCTGGGCCTGCCACCAGTGAGGGCTGGCTCTGGGCAGTTCCTTCCCATCTCTGGACCTCCAAATACCCACTGTAATGAGCAACCATAGGCTCCCACACTCTTTCTAGTGTCTCACTCAGGCAGGAACATGTACCAAGGTGATGACGATAGGCTGAAGGTCAAACTCAGACAGGGATTGGCTCCCTGGGAAGTGCACAAGGAGAGGTAGTGACACCAGAAGCTGAGCAAGCTATTGCCAGGGCCTTTACTGTCACCAGACCCTTTCCAGGCCCACAGGTTTATTATTTTCTTAAAGAAATTCCTTCAAACAGTAGAATTTCAGTTCCTTCAAAACCTGGCTCATGCCACAATAAACAGTGAAAAATGGTTTCTGTGTCTTTAAGTTAGTAACTTATTTAAAATAAAACCAAGAAAAAACATGATGTGAAACTCTTCCATCTTTGAGAAAAAAGGATCAGCATTTACTGTTTCTGTTATCAAACCCTTTAAAGGGGCAGGACACGTCATCTAATAGGATACTGATGGCAATAGTGGTGGAGAACAAGATGTGAGCCAACTAACGAAGTAATAATAAACATCTCTCCACCCCGCTCTTCCCAAGTTGAGGTGGAGGTTGCATAGATGGTTCTGGAACATACCATCCAGCTGCTCCAAGAGCTGGGAGGATAAAGACTGGTTCTAAGGCTCTTGAGGAACAATGAACCCCACAGAACTAGACTCCAACCAACTCCAATCTCAGAGAAAATCTTGTCGATCTTTCTTCCAAACTCATTTACTAATGTTTACTCTGTTTGGAGACCCTACAGAACTTACAACATTCCTCTTTTTCAGAGAACTAACTTGGTTAGAAAACCAAAAGGGAAGAACACACTCAGCATTTCTCAAACTGAAAGAACTGAGACAAAAATTCAAGCCTCAAGTTGCAATATTGAATGATTCTATGGGCAAAAT